CTTATCGTCTGCGCCCGTGTGGCTCCTTGAATGCTTTATGTGTTTCGCTGTGTCCACGCTGCGCTTGCCAGCACACGTGCGACCTCACACACGCAAACACCCAGCTCTCACACGCACCGGTCACCACCCCTGCCTTGCTGCAGACGTCAAGGTCTTCCGCGAGTTTAACCTGACGGTGCCCGCCGGCAAGACCGTAGCATTGGTTGGGGAGAGCGGCAGCGGCAAGTCGACCGTCATTGGCATCATCGGTAAGTCGGAGGTTCAAGAGAGCCGGGGTGGGTGGGTGGGGGATGTGAGTGTGCATGCGGGCAGAGACCTGCAGCGCTGGTGTGCTGTCAGGCCAATCGCGGCTTGAAGTTGCGGGAGGCACCAGGCGTGTGGGGGGTGGGAGCAGAAAGTGGTGCAGAGGTGTGCGCACATGCCTCCCTGGACTTGCTGAACGTGTGCCCGCCCGCCTGTGCAGAGCGCTTCTACGATCCGCAGGCGGGTGAGGTGCTGATCGATGGCGTGGACATCAAGAAGCTGCAGGTGGGTGCAGCGCAGCAGGAAACAAATCAGGGCGGAACACGATGTCTCCGGACACATTGGGGACTGACCCCCTTAACAAGTTGGAGGGCACAAAGAAACCACGCTGCTTGTCTTGTCGAGAGGCAGAACATGCTGCTGCTGTGCCAGCTGTTCAGCCTATGCCAGCATCTTGTGCTGTTACTGGTGATCCAGCGCTCGCATGCTGCCTGCTGGCTGCCTCTCTGTGTGCAGCTGCGCTGGCTGCGCTCCCAGATTGGGCTAGTCAGCCAGGAGCCCACGCTGTTTGCCACGACCATCTCCGAGAACATCCGCCTCGGAAAGCCAGGTGCGCTGCGCCTGCTGGCTGGCAGCAGCAGCTTGTGCTGGGGGACACCGGCGGGCTGGTGGGAGCAGGTGCCTGTTGTGGTTGGCACGTTGTGGTTGGCACGCGTGCCCATGCCTGGCAGACCTGGTCGCAGCGGGTGCTGTGGCCTTTCCTGCGGCGCCCTCAGACCAAAGCGTGCGCTGCGTGGCTGCCCCTGCATCAAGCAGGATGCACCATGGAGGAGATTGTGGAGGCGGCCAAGTCCGCCAACGCCCACAACTTCATCTCTGGCCTGCCCAGGGGGTGAGCACGCGCACGGCCGCCTCGCCGCGAGCTGCCAGCCGGCAGCGCTTGCAGGGGCACTCGCAGCTGCCCAGCATCACATGCGCCTGCTTCCCTGATCTTGCCATTACATGCATGCCTGCATGCGTTACATGCCCCTGAGCCAATGGTGCTGCGGCTTGCCGTGAGGCGTGCAGGTACGACACCCAGGTGGGCGAGAAGGGGGTGCAGATGTCGGGGGGCCAGAAGCAGCGCATCGCCATCGCGCGGGCAATCCTCAAGGACCCCAAGATCCTGCTGCTGGATGAGGCCACCTCAGCGCTGGATGCGGAGAGCGAGCACGTGGTGCAGGATGCTCTGGACCGGCTGATGGTGGGGCGCACCACGGTGCGTCGGTCGCGCGTCGACGCGATGCGCACGCCGGGCCTGGCTGCGGGCGGCTGGCCGGCCGGGCCGGCTGCGCTTGCTGGCTGGCTGTGTGTCGGGCGCGGTGTGAGGATATATGTGTGGGCTTGCGCCACCTGTCGGATGGCCACCCGGCACTTGACGAGTGGTAGTCGTGTGCCTGCCGTAGGTGGTGGTGGCGCACCGGCTGTCAACTGTGATTGGCGCCGACATGATCGCAGGTGTGGCACTGCCTTGGTTTGCCACAGCCCGCTGCCTCCTCCCTTGCCCGTCCCCAGTGGCGGCTCGTGTTGACCCTGCTTGCGTGCGGCACGTGCCTTCCTCCCCGCCTCGCCATGGTGTGCAGTGGTGAAGCAGGGGCACATTGTGGAGCAGGGGAGCCACGATGAGCTCATGGCGCTCGGCGGGGCCTACTGGACGCTGGTGCACACCCAGCAGCAGGGCGGCGGCACAGGGGACAGCGAGGAGGAGGAGGAGGAGTATGAGGGGATGGGCCCGCTGACCCTGCTGGCGGCTGTGCCAGAGGTCTGTCGCCTGCCAGCACCAGCCGGCTTCCTCGTCCCGCCTGCTGCCTGCTTTGAGCTGCAACGGGCGCTTGGCACGCCGGGCAGAAGTGTGCAAGGCGCAGGCTGCGGCTGCATGCTCAGAGCCGGGAGATGATAGCTGTGCGCTAACGCTGCGCTGCTGCCCGGTTACAGGATGACGCCATTACCCCCCGCCTGTCGCGGCAGTCGGGGGATGCCGCTGACAAGTCTGGCAGGGCAGGCGGCTTCTTCAAGAAAGCAGGTGGGGCTCGTAGGCTGCACTCGCCGCCCCATGCTGCCCCATGCTGCGCAAACGGCTTCCAGCCAACTGCTGACAAAGTGCCGGCGTAAGTCAGCACTTCCAACTCTGAGCCAGATTGTCCCTCTGTTTCTCCCTACGTGTTCTTGTCTTCAGGCACAGTTGTGCCAGAGGCACTCGCAGAGGGCCTTCCCGCTCCAGACCCGTCCCAGAGCGCCGCCGCCCGTGGCGTCATGCCTGGCATGGCCCTGCAGGCAAGCTGGGCAGGTTGCATGGTGCAGCAAACCCACCAACACCCTGCACGCATGCCTTGGCAGGCTTTCGGCCCACCTGGCCCTTCTTTCTGCCCTGCCAAGTTTGTGGTGCATTCGCACCGAGGGATTTTGGTATGTCCCTGCTGCGCCCCGCCGTGCAGCGCGGCATGAGCGGCATGCGCCGCTACATCAGCTTCCGCCGCAAGGACACCAAGCGGCGGCGGGAGGCGGAGCAGGAGGCGGTGGACCACCGCAAGTCGACGGCCGAGGAGGAGCAGATCAAGGTGGGTGGCGGGGGAGTGCTTTGTGTGTGGGGGAGTAGGTGGGTAGGTGGACGGGTGTGGAGATGCCCCTGGCCAGCGGGCTGCATGGTGCATGATCACGCAGCGCCAGCGCCAGCTGCCTTGCATGCGCGCATGCGTTTATGTGGTGCTGAGCTGGCTTGGCAGCCTGCGCCTGCAGGTGCCCATCAAGCGAATCGTGGCGCTGAACAAGCCTGAGCTGCCGGCGGCGGTGACGGGCATGCTGGGGTCGGCGGCGCTGGGCATGATGATGCCGGGTGCGCCGCCAGGCCCGCACCTGGCAGTCGTTACCTCCCTGGCTGTTTATGGAGCGCTGAGGGAGCCCCAGCTGCAGCGTGTGTTGTGGTTCGCCTTGATTCTCGAGCACGGCTGCCGCGCGCTCCCCTCCCTTCCGCCGCAGGCTTTGCCATCGCCTTCAGCTCCATCCTGGATACCTTCTACGGCCCAGGCGAGTCACCGTTGTGTACTTGTTTCCAACACGCGTGTTGGAGAGGTGGAGGAGGGCCGGACCCTCCCTGTGTGTGCTGGGCCCATCCTGTGGCAGCTGCTTCCCCGGCTGTTGTGCCTCACCCTCCGTGCCTGTGCCTCGCTGTGCGCCGCGCTCCATGCCTGCGCCTGTGCAGTGGAAGACATCAGCAGCGGCGCCCAGAAGTGGTCGCTCGTGTTTGTGGCCATTGGTGTGGGCGCCATCGTCGCGGCCATGTTCCAGGTCCGTACCGCCGGCCTGTACCGCCCTGCCCGCACGGCAGCTTGGCTGGCCAACCCTGCACTGCCTTTTTGCTTGCGTGCTTTTTCAAAGCCTGCTGTCAAGCGAGCCAGGGCACGCCTGCCTCCGCACCTTGGCGCCGAGCGTGCCTCGTCGCCTTCTGACCCGTCCCGTTCTTCATGCTTTCCACCCTGCCCGCCCACCCTGCAGTCCTACTCTTTCAATTACATGGGCCAGAAGCTGGCGCTGCGCGTGCGCGTCCTCATGTTCCGAGCCCTGCTGCGCCAGGTGTGCACATGCGCTTGCGCTGCGACACGGCTGCATGCTCACGAGGGGTCGGGCCTGGTTACGGGACGAGGTTGCACGAGCGGAAGCTCAGGCATGAGCACACTGTGCCTGCCGGAGGCGCAGCAAGCAGCCCACCAAACGCCACCCGGCCTCCTGCACGCCTGTTTCTTTCTTCCAATCCGCAGGAGGTGGGGTGGTACGATGAGGACCGCAACAGCAGCGGCGTGCTGTCCTCCAAGCTCTCCTCCGACGCCCTGTCGGTCAAGGGGCAGTTTGGAGACACCATGGGCCTGCTGACGCAGGTGTGCTGTGGCCGCCTATGTGTGTGGGTTCTGTGTTCATGGGTAGAAGTAGAGCCAGGGCTCGGCTGCCGCCGCGACCATCCGCAGCGCCCAGCTGCAGCGCCCAGCCAGCTCGACCCTCACCCCTGCTTCCCACCCTTGCTCGCACAGAACCTGGTCACCCTGATTGGCGGCCTCATCGTGGCATTCACCAACGGCTGGAAGCTGAGCCTGGTGGTGGTGGCCTGCCTGCCCGTCATGGCCTGCGGCGCCTACTTCCACACCAAGATGCAGATCCAGAGCGCATCCAAGGTGTGTGTGTGATGTGGCAGGCATGGGGTGGTGTGCCTGAGGCGTCTGTGTGGGAGGCTTCTCGCGGTGCAGCTGCGGGTGGCGGGACCCCCGCATCCACTGAGCCACCCCTCACCACGCCTGCCTCTCCTTACTCGATCTTTTCTGCTCCCGGTGGCGCAGGAGGACGATACCTTCGCCCAGGCCAACCAGACCGCCTCCGAGGCACTCACAAACATCAAGACTATCGCCGCCTTTGGCATGGAGGGGCAGGTGAGGTGCTGCAGCCGAGCCGCCGTGCAGCGCGGCAGGGACGCGTGTTTTTTACGCCTTTGGTGTCGTGTCCACAGCACCGTTCCGAGGCTTGCCTCTGGGCAGGCCCGGTCCAGGCGGTGCCTGCCACCTGCCCTCAACACAGTCCAACTCCCGGCTGGGCTGCTGCGCCACCCCGCCGTGCCCACCGCAGGTGTCGGAGCTGTATGCCAAGAAGCTGCGGGTGCCCACCCTCGAGGCGAGGCGCCGCTCCAACACCGCAGGCACGCAGCAGCACCTCTGGCTGGCCCCGGCACCCTGCCGGCTGTGCGTGCTGGCTTGGTTGTTCTGCCTGGTGGCCTGCCTGCCTGCCGTGTGTGAAGGTCGCAGGAGGCTTACTCCCACACCTGCTGGCAGCCCAACCCTGCCCACACGCCCGCCGCTGCCCTGTGCCCTGCTGCAGGCGCCGGCTTTGCCTTTGGCCAGTTCTCGCTGTTTGCCACCTACTCCCTGGCCTTCTGGTACGGCGGCCAGCTGGTGGCAGACGGGGAGAGCACCTTCAAGCAAGTTATGCTGGTGAGGTTTCTGGTTCTGGCGCTGTGGTGTTGGTCTGTGTGTGTGCATGCGCGTGCTTCGCTGCGGGATATGGGTGGGGTGGGGGTGTCGATGCACACAGCAGGGGCAGGCAGGCGCCGGCGGGCCGCACCAGCAGAGCGCCCGGTGCCAAACTCCTCACACGCCACCATGTTTTGGACCTGCCCCAGGTGTTCTTCTCCATCTTCCTGGCCGCCATGGGCGCCGCCCAGGCCCAGCTCTTCTTCCCGGACGTGGCCAAGGGCAAGGCCGCCACCCAGCGCGTCTTTTCTATCATCGACCGCGTGCCCAAAATCGACGCCGCTAGCATGGTGGGCCTGGGCTTGCAGTGCCACTGCCGAGGGGCCTGGTGCTGGCGTGCCTGCTGCGGACCGGCAGCACGCCGATGCGCGGCTGCAGCAACCCTAGACTCAAGTGTGCCGGTGGGAGCGCGTGCGAAGCGGTGTGCTGTGGCGCCTGCCTGCCGCAGGAGGGCTCCCAGCCGCTGGCCGTCAGCGGGGAGGTGGAGCTTCGAGACGTCACCTTTGCCTACCCGCAGCGCCCAGGTGTGCCTTGCGGTGTGTTGGTGGGGTGGTCCTCTTTGTCGAGGACCACCCCGTCTCCTGCCTCCGCGTGCCGTGCTCCTGCTGCTGTCCTCCGGGTGCCTCCACCCTGCGCTGCCCCGTCCCATGCCCGCCCTCCCTCTCACCGCGCCCGCTGTTGCTCCTCCTGCCGCGCCCGCCGTGCCCATCCGCCTCTCCTTGCTGCCCTCCCCGCAGAGGTCAAGGTCTTCCGCCACTTCAGCCTGCACGTGCCCCAGGGCAAGACTGTGGCGCTGGTGGGCGAGAGCGGCAGCGGCAAGTCCACCGTCGTGGCGCTGATCGAGCGGTTTTACGATCCGCTGGCGGGGCAGGTGGGCGCGCGTGTGTGTGTGTGTGTATGTGTGTGCGTGCGTGTGTGTCAGTGTGTGTGGCAAGTGTCCCCACACCTGCCCGCAGCCTACCTTGGAGGGGCTGCTGGGAGGACGCGTGGGCACGCCCCACATCGGTGCCCGCCGCCCTGCCCACAACCCCCATCCTCTCACACATACACACACGCCACCTGCTCCTGCGCAGGTGCTGCTGGACGGCCGCGACATCCGAGACCTCAACCTGCGCTGGCTGCGCGAGCAGATTGGGCTGGTGGGGCAGGAGCCGGTGCTGTTCAACATGACCGTCACGGGTGGGTGTGCATGCGGGTGTATGTGTTTGTGTGGGGTGTGTTGTGGAGGGAAGGGCCTCCTCATTCCGTGCCCATGGGCTCCCCCGTCTGGCGCGCCCCACGCCCTGCAAGCCTTGCATCCCTCCAGCTTCGCTGCGCCGCTGAGGTGTGCATGCTGCCTCCCTGCCCTGCCCCGCTGCCCCGCCTGGCAGAGAACATCCGGTATGGGCGGCCCGATGCCAGCGATGAGCAGGTGGAGGCGGCCGCGCGGGCGGCCAACGCCCACACCTTCATTGCCCGCCTGCCCGAGAAGTACGGCACCAAGGTGCGGTGCAGCTGCTGCACGGCTGCTGCACAGCTGTCCACAGCTGTATATCGGCGGTACAATTACAGTACATCGTATGGGAGGCAGAGGCCTCCACCTGGACCAGGTGTTCCCCATCGGCTGTGCCAGCCAGCATGCCTGCCTGCCTGAAACGCGCCCGCCCTCCCCTCCCTTTCTGGCTCGCAGCTGGGCGAGGGCGGCATCACCCTCAGCGGCGGCCAGAAGCAGCGGGTGGCCATCGCGCGGGCCATCGTGAAGGACCCCAAGGTGGGGGCAGGCCCCGGGCAGAAGAAAGTCAGCCAGCGGCAGTGCCAGTGGCTCTTGCCCCTTGCTTGCTCCAGTACTGCCCGTTGGCTGCGCTGGCCAGGCAGCTGCCAGGCAGCTGTCAGAAAGGCGATGGCCGGGCTGAAACAGGCCGCGTTGCTGCCGTGCGGCAGTTCTCTGACCCACGCCGCGCCCTGCGCTTCTGCCTCCGCCCCCTGCGCCTGCGCCTGCAGGTGTTGCTGCTGGACGAGGCCACCTCAGCGCTGGATGCGGAGAGCGAGAAGGTGGTGCAGGATGCTCTGGACCGGCTGATGGTGGGGCGCACCACCGTTGTGGTGGCGCACAGGTGCGTGCGGGCCGGCAATCAGCCCGCTTCGCTGCCTGCTGTGGCTGGTTCAAGCCGTGTCGGTGCTCCACTTGCCTCTCATGTTTTGGGGCTGTTCTGCCTGCCTGCTGCCTGCTGCAGGCTCAGCACTGTGCGCGACGCCGACGTGATTGCCGTGGTCAACCGTGGGAAGATCATTGAGCAGGGCCCGCACGAGGAGGTGGGCTGGTGGGGTGTGGCTATGCAGGTGTCTGTGTGTTTCTGTGGGTGCAGGTGGCTGGCCGGCTGCTGCGGTGCTGGGCCGACTTGCGTGCGCTGTGCCGTGCCACTCCACGACACTCGGCGCAAGCGTGTGCGGGACCCTCACGCACAAGCCGCTCTCCCTGCCCCGCCCGCAGCTCATGGCCCGCCCGGCCGGCGCCTACTCGCGCCTCGTGCGCCACCAGCTGACCCGCGGCGGAGCCAGCGTGCGCCTGGCGTCGCGGCGCGCGGCGTCCTTCCAGCGCCTCGCTGCCGCCGCCGGCGCGGGCGGCGACGCGCACCAGCCGTGATGCGGCCAGCCCGCGATGATGCGCCGCCGACCTTGTGTACCCCCTCCCCTTCCTTCTTTCTTCAGTATCTCTTATCTACCCTTGGCAGTTTTGCTGCTCCTGTGCCTCGCTGCACTGCGGCCTCGTACTCACCGTTTTCTTTGCACCTGCACTCGTGCCGCCCCCACGCCCCTCAATTATATTGTTCCCCACTCTTTCATTCCTACTGCCCCCACCCCAGCGGAGCAGGCTCCCTCAGCCTCCCCTTGCAATGATCCAACCTGTCCTCCCCTGGCTGTCCCCTTTTGTTCCTGTGCCCCTCAGTTCCTGGCCCACACCCCACCCCCAGCACGACGCATGCCCAGCACGCATGCCGCGGCCATCGTACTAGGTTTATTTGTAAATGTCTTCTGCAAGTGGCCTGTGATGATGTGTTGAGAGGGGGCCTGCAGCTTTTCTGTCGTCTCTGCTTCAGGGCAGGGGCCAGGGATGAGCAGCAAGGGAGCCGCTGTTTTCGTGCCCCTCCTCAGCAAAGCAGCGTGCCTTATGCATTCCCTTGGCTGGCTGTGGCTCTGGCGCAGGGCCACCACTTCATGCCATCCTCCCTGCTTCCTCCAACGTTGCAGGAATGAATGGTTACAACCCCAGCAGCAGGGAGACAGGATACACCAGCGGAGAGCAAAATAAAAAGTTCTTCTCAGTGTGGGGAGCTGCCCAGCAGCACGCCCAGCGGCAGCAAGGGATGCGACGACGCGCGAGTCAGGGAGTCAGGCGTCCAAGCACGTTCATGGCCACTGCAGCAGCAGAGGGCGGGCAGGAGGCAGGGAGTCAGAAGCTGCCAATCGGCGTGCACAGGCCGGCCGCGCTGCAACCAGCACAGCGCATCTGCAGTGGTGCTGAGGGGTACTGAGTGGTACTGACCAGGGCGTGGAGGAAGCAGCCCGCGGGGATGGAGACGCCTGCAGCGATGGAGCCAGAAGAGTGGCCAGGGCACGGTCAGCAGAGGCAGCGCAAAGGCGGCAACCAGAGCTGTGGTGGCTGATGGCGACCTGTGGCATCTGCCAAAGCCCGATGGGGGGAGAGGGAGTGTTTTTTCTTCTTTTCACCACATGCGAGGCTCACCCTGGAAGGTGACGGTGTCCGGGATCTTGCAGGGGGGCACGATGGCTTGGCCGGGCACGACGACCGCCTTGGAGACTGCGGCAGGCAGCGAGGGTGGGTGGTGGTCAGCGTGGCGGCGAGGGCGGGGCGCAAGAAGCGTCCTGGACCAGCAGCATGGGGCCCGCTGCAAGGGGCTCCCACCCGATGGCCACAGCCAGCGGCAGCCCAGCACGGGCGGCAGGCTGGAGCGGCGCGAGCGGCCGGCAGCGGCGGCTGCCACGCACAGATGGTGGTGTTCAGGGGGTCGGACAGGTGCTCGCCCAGGGCCGCAAGGGGGTTGAGGCCGGAGATCTGTGCGGCCATGGTGAAGCCGATGAAGGCAAGCATCGCCAGGCGGCCTGCAGCAAAGGGGCAAGGCGGCGGCGGGGTCAGAGCGCGTGCGCGTGTGTGGAGGTTGTGGGGCGGGGCTCGCGGGCTCAGAGTTGTGGCCACACAACTGCCCTCCACCACAAGCAGCAGCACGCCGCACGCAGCACACTGGCAGACAGAGGCACTCAAAACCCCACCAGCGTTCAGGGCCGCTCACCGTTCTTGATCTCCTTCACCTTGAGCTCCTCCATGGAGCCGGGCACAAACGGCGCAAAGATGCCGCCGGGGTAGCCGGGCTGCGGGGAGGCAGGGCGGGGAGGGGAGGGGGACGCGCAGGCCAGGCGCGTCAGGCACCAGCGCAGCCCGCCATCCGACACACCACCCAGCCCGCAGTTTTCCAGTGCTGTGCCAGGCCCAGACGGCCACCAACAGCCCAACAAGCTGCCAGGGGCCGCTGCCAGCCAGCCAGCCAGCCGCCGCCAGCTGTCGGCTGCCGCCACAGCCCCATGCAGTGCCACACCACGCTGCGCCGCACCTCGTGCGAGGGCAGCTTGAAGTTGGAGAAGATGGGGTCCTGGTCCATGCTGCCGGGGTTCTTGATGTCATACCTGGAGGAAGAAAGTAACGGAGGGGGCAGCAGCATGAGGGTGCAGGCGGGGTGAACTCCAACGCAGGTACGTCCGCCAGGCCTGGCACGGCTCGTGCGCCGCACGCAGAGCTCTGCCGCACACAGCAGGCAGGGCTCCAAACACAGCATGCGGGGGTGCCAGCGTGCTGCGTGTCGCACCCGCGGCGAGACTCCACCCAGTGCATGACAAACAGCTCAAAGGCCACCAGGCCGGTGATGTCGAAGGGCAGCTCCACATCCACAGCCGAGGTGTACCAGAAAACGTCGGGCCTCACCAGCTCCTGCGGCGGTGGGCAGCAGCAGCGGGTGATGTGTGGGTGCATTGAGGGGGTGGCGAGGGATGCCTGCTGCCGGATGCCGGCTGGCCGGCCGGCCCGCCCCACGCTGGGCAGCCGTGCTGTCATTGGCAGCGTCGGCAGGCCGCGGCGGGAAGCCCGCTGCAGGGCCGCGGCTCGCCGCGCAGTGCAGTCTGCTCGCTGCGCAGCCGCGTCTTCTCAGCGCAGCCGCGTCTTCTCAGCGCCGCCGCTGCCCTGAAGCGTGCACCCCAGGCCGCACCCCGTGCTGTGCTGCGCCGCTGCACGCCGCCCACCACGCACGCAGCGGGCGCAGCAGGCCCCACAGCCAGCCATCGCACCTGCACCAGGATGCCGGCCACGCCGAGCATGGCCCAGCGGCAGTGCACGCGCTCGCTCTCGGCAAACCACGCCAGGCGCTCGGGGTTGGCGCCCAGGCCCAGCGGGTCGAAGCCGAAGTCTGCGATGGAGGCACGGGAGACGCGATACGATAGCATGTTGGACAGCGGCAGGTCAACAGGGTGGCACCAAGGAGAGGCAGGGTGGAGCGTTTCCGGGCGTTGTTGGGCCCCGCATTGCTTGAATCAACAAGTTCCGCTGCAAGCCAAGCCCTCGGCTACTCACTGCCGGGCAGTGGGCTGTTCTCCAGGTGCGCTGGGAAGTCGTTGCCGGGCAGCCAGTTGGCGCGGGCGGCGGCGCGCACCACCACGCCGGAGCGCGCGGCGCGGGCGGGGCCGGCAGCCTTGGCCACCTGCGCGCGGCAAAGTAAAGGGCGAGGCCCCCGGCGATCAGGGTTGCGGGCTGTCCATCTAGATGATTGCCCCCCTGACCGCGCCTCGCAGCCTCCCCGCACGCCAAGCAAGGGAGGCTCCGGGTTGGGTTGATGCCCCGCAGATGTTGGACAGGGCCGGCTGGGGGGCTGGCTGACGCCCCATGGGCGATACTGGCCATCCCGTGTCGATCTGGGGCCCCTGGCCGCCCAGCGGCGACAGAGGGAGGGAGGCTCACCACTCGGGTGCCGGCGACGGCGGTCTTGGCGCTCAGGGCCTGCATTGTCGAGTTGTGATGAGTGACTCCACGAGTTGGACAAGTGGAATGAGGGCACAGGGGCGCGCAGAGCGAGAAACAAGATGGGGGAGTGGAAAGATGGGATGAGCTTAGATTCGTGCTGGGGTGGGAGGGTAGAGCTGGGGCCCCGCCCCGCGCAGGCTTTGTCCCACTCCACCCGGTAGTTGAGACCCCTCCAGCACCAAGATGCAGGCCTGCATTGCCGCCAGCTTCGTCAAGCCCGCCGTGGCGGTGCGGGTGAGGCGGGCCGCTGCGGGGCTCCCAGCGGCCTCCTGGGGCAGAACAGCAGCCAGATGTGGGCAGATGGACGCCCTGGGGCGGCGTCCAGGCGCCCGGGGCTCCCCACCGACTCCCCTGGCCCTCCTCCCTGCCTTGCAGCCATCCCGCCGCTCCAGCGTGGTGGTGCGCGCCGCTGGCTGGGACATGAGCGCCGAGGTGCCAGCCCACCTGAAGGGCAAGGACCTGGCCGGAAGTGAGCAGGCAGCGGCCAGCGGCGGCGCCCCGCCGACCGCCAGCCTGGCCAGCGCATGTTTGGGGGCACACAGCTGCAGCATAGCATATCATCCAAGCATACCGGACAGTCGTGGCGAGTGCAGTTCTGCGGCACATGGCAGAGTGCAGCAGCCCCACCGCATTGCCGCTGCTGCCCCTCCTTTCCTCACCTCGCACCCCCCTCGTCCACCCCCGCAGACTTCGGCTTCGACCCCCTCAGCCTGGGCAAGGACGAGGCCGCCCTCAAGTGGTACACCCAGGCCGAGCTGCAGAACGGCCGCTGGGCGATGCTGGGCGTGGCGGGCATCCTGGTGCAGGTGTGGTGCCGCCGCCGCCGCCGCGCCTGTCGTGCTGTGGTTGCTGTCGCCGTGCCCATGCCCTGCCCATGCAGCTGCGAGATGCCCCCAGCTGTGGGTCTCCCCACATTGTAGTCCTCCCGCGCATGCCTTGCCTACCCACACGCCCTGCCCCGCTCCCCCTCGCCCGCCTCTCCCAGGAGCTGCTGCACAAGACCGGCCTGGGCGGCAAGGCCGCGGACGTCTACTGGTTCGACGCCGGCAACAACACCTTCTGGGCGCCCAAGGAGACCCTCATCGCCATCAGCTTCCTGCTGTTTGCGTGGGCCGAGTGCAACCGCGCGCAGGTGGGGGCCGGGCCGGTAACTGGCGCCATCCCGCCGCCCCTGTTGGGCGCCTCCCGCGCGTGCCGCATCCCTCGTTGTGCGCTCAGCTCCCACGTCGCTCCGCTCACTGCTGCTGCCCGCCCCTCTTTCTGCTCCCTCCCTCCTCCTGCCCCTGCAGGACTACTTCAAGCCCGGCTCCAACGTGTCTGACCCCTTCGGCAACTCGATCAAGTATGTCGAGCTTGGCTACCCCGGTGCGTGGGAAAGGGACGCTGCCGGTCGCCGCAGGCAACGTGTACCGGTTGCGGTGGATGACAAAAAGGAGGGCCTGGGGCAGCAGGGAGGTGGTTGGCGCGGTGCGTGGCCGTGCCCTGCACGCCGCCATTGCACTCGTGTGCCCCTGCTGGTCGCCCATCCGGCCCGCAACGCCGCTGCCCGCTCGCAGGCTTTGACCCCCTGTCGTTCACCAAGAACGACTATGCCGGGTGGAAGCTCAAGGAGATCAAGAATGGCCGCCTCGCCATGCTGGCCTTCCTGGGCTTTGTGGCCCAGCACAACGCGCAGCCCGGCAGCCCCCTGGACCAGTTGGCGGACCACCTGTCCAACCCGTGGAAGAACCACTTTGTCAACAACGGTGCGCCTGGTCTTCTTTTGCGGTCTGGGGCTCATTCGGCACTGTTTGCATGCCCAATTCTGTGTTTTTGCACTGTTATCCCGTGGGGATGCACTGCTTTTTGCTGGGCTCGGCGGGGTTGGGAGCTGCTGCGCCAGCGTGTTGCCGCCCAGCGGCTTTCCTTGCTGACCGACGTGGTTTTCTCCCCCCTGTTCTATCGTGTTCTGCAGGCGTCTCGCTCCCCTTCCTCACCGACACCACCCACAACCTGCTTGGCGGCACGTACTGAGCTCGCTCCGGCCCAAAAACTTGTTTGTACCATTCTTGGTTGGGCCTCGCCGCTGCTGGGGGCTTGGCTCGCGCGTGGAGCAATGGGACCATTGCACCACCATCCCATGAGAGGCTGCTGGCCCTCGGCTGACTGCGACGGCTCGCGGGTTGCTGCGCCCGCTCGCTGGGAGAAGATAACTTGCTTGCACTTTCCACTTTCCATTTGCTGCGCTTAAGAGGTGTAATCTCACCCACCCCACGCTGCAAAACGGCATACACGACTCAGGAAGTGTTGGACGTGGTTGATGTTGATGAGCAGCAGGCTCCTCTCATCACCCATTCTCAGGTTACAAGCTAGCCACGCTCTGCTCACCGAAAACGATATCAAATGTACAGCTATGGCTGGCGAATCAATAGCGCAAACAGAATCACTACTGAGCTAGGCACGCCCTACCAACTGTGGCACGACAAGCTATCGCTAGGGTTGGAAACCGACACCCACTAAGTTGCCTCTGGCTGCCAGCCGCCGCCCACGCTGGTGCTGGTCTTGTGGGTGGGACTGTGGATGTTGAGCTGGTCGCACAGCTTGTGAGCAAACTCGGTTGCCAGGTCGCCGGCACTTGCCTCATCACCGCTGCCATCTTCGGGTATGGCGGCCACAGCAGGCACCTTGCGGGGGCTGGCAGCCGTGCGGCCCTCTGCACGCGCCGCAGAGCCAGCTACTGCCGAAGGCAGCGGTGAGGAGGCCAGCCGGCGTGGGGCGGCAGCCGTGGCGCCACCGGACCCAGGCCTGGCACCGACACCGCTGCTGCTTCGAAGCACACTGCCTGCCTTGCCTGGAGTCGAGGCCTTTCCCGCAGCTGGCTCTGCACCACTGCGTGAATCGCGCTGCTGCGCCTGCGGCTGGCCTGGGGAGCCAGCTGCCCGGAGGCCCAGCGCTTTGATGCGGCTGCCCCGATGCTGTGGGGGGGTTGCCAGCGGGTTGTCACGCCACACCTTCTGCGGCTGCCGCTGGGCCTGCTGCTGGACCTGTCGTGGCTGCGGCTGCAGTGAGTCCGGCTCTGAAGCGGCGGCGCGGGCTGAGCCGGCTGCTGGCGGCGATGTGGCCAGGGCTGCTGCTGCGGCGGCTGGGGTGCGAGAGGAGGTGGGCGAGCATGCTGCCACGCCTACGCTGATTGCCACCGCAGCTGTGCTGGTGGTGGTGCTGCTGCCGGGGGTGGCACCCGCGGCGCAGCTCCCTGCTGCCCCTCGGCTGCCGCCACTGCCGTTGCTGGTGCCTCCCTCGCTTGCCGCCGCCTCGATGGCTGCCTGCACTTTGCTGGCGTGTGCCGCCTGCAGGCTGCCGCTGCTGTCAGGGCTGCTGCGGTGCAGGCCGTCACCCAACACGCTGTGGCTGCTGCCAAACCCAGCCACCGCTGTCCCTGCTGCCGAGTGGTTGGCGCCAGGCACCGTGCCTCCCGCCGCCTCGCTGGCCGCGTGGCGGTCTGTCGAGCGCAGCTTGGCCGCGCTTTCCAGCCGCTGCTGCCACTCCTGCAGCTTGATCTGCAGCCGCACGGCCACATCATCATCCTGCCCCCCCTCTGCGCACAGGCCCCGCAGCATGCTCCACAGTCGGTCAAGGTGTACACCAGCTGGGTGCCCCCAGCCAAGGGACTTCCCTGGCAGTATGCGGGTTATAGCACACAGCCAGGGAAAGCTCTCCAGCAGGCAGGCAGCCAGCGAGATGCAGCATCGGGCATCTCAAAAGCAGCGCCAAGCGGGATTGCAAGGCAGCCGCCCCACATCCGGGCGACCCACCGGTCTTGGAGGGGCTGGGCTCCCCGCTGCCGCTGGCGCTCCGTGCCGGAGGGCTGTGCTGGCGGAATAGCTCCTGCGACCCGCGGGGCAGGGGGCGACGCAGCAGCCCATGCCAGCTCAGCGCCGGGCACAGCGTTGCAGTCGCGCCAGCTGTCAAGAGCTGCTCCGTGGGGGAGGGGGGGGCAGCCCCAAGGGCTAGGCTACTAGGCTGCAGAATCACAAACGGGGATGCCCTGCAGCCTGCCAGCCTGCCCACCCACCTGCACCGTTTCCAGCAGCGTCAGGTAGGCCGACTCCCGCTGGGTCAGCATGGACTGGAGCTGCGCAGCACGGCGAACAGGTGGGGCGTGCAGGTGGCGGGGCGGGTTCCGTGAATGCAGGGCAGGTGCCAGAGTGGCTCCATCTGGACAGCACACCACACAGGAGCCCCAGCCCGCAGCACCCACCTCTGCATTCTCCTGTCGCAGCGCGGCAAAGTCTGCATCCAAGAGGGCCAGGGCGCCGGCGGCGCTGTCCTGCGCCCGCCGGGCCTCTGCCAGCTCGCCTTTCACCGCCTGCAGCTGCTGCCTGACGGCCGCGCGCTGCTTGTTGGCGGCGCCCAGCTGCTGCCTGGCTTCCTGTGACGCGGCTCGCTCTGCTTCCAGCTGGCCGACAAGCTGCTGCTGGGCAGCGGCCAGGCGGCGCGCCTCGCCCCGCGCCGCCGCCAGCTCCGCCTCGAGGCGCGAGTGAGCGGCCGCCTGCTCCTCGGCGCAGGCGCTGTGCAGCGCGGCCTGCACCGCGCGGCGTCGCTCCCCGGGCGCGGCGTTCAGGCGCTGCTCCAGCTCCTGGCAGCGCGACAGGGCGGCGAGCAGGCGGGCCTGGGCTGTCGACGCCTGCTCCTGAGCCGCCTGCGCCGCCAAGGCTGGCGGAGGCCCTGCCACCTTGCTGCGCTGCTCTGCTTGCTCCAGGCGCCGCTGGAGCTCGGCGATAGTGCGGTTCTTAGCCCCCAAGGCGCTGCCTGCCATTTGAAGGGCCACTGCGTAGCCATCGGACGCCTCCGCGCTGCTAGTCATTTCCCGCTGGGCTCTGTGGGCGCGTTGGGCATTGCTGCCGGCGCTGCCTGGGCCCCACAGCCACCCCAGCAGCCAACCCATGTTAGACAGACGTCCCCCAATGCCCGCGGTGATGGAACGACATCCCCACCGTCTACAATTGATTTGGGAGGCCCTGGCTCGCCCATCCTTGTGCAGGGCGTGTCACAGCGCCACGTGGAGCACGTGGAGTTGGAGTGGAAGCGGTTCCCCCAGCCTGCGGCCGAGGTATTCGCGCTGGATTCTTCGACCGGAGCGTTCCCAAACTCTGCAACCAGACGGATTCAAGGCGAGGGCACGGTAACAAGGGGTCCGAAGGGTCGGAAGGGGGCAAACCCCGCACACACACTGCCGGTCGCAGCACATGATCATCGACTACAGGAGGGACCCCAAACAGGGATCAAGCGATTACCCTTCTCGCGGGCGTTTCCATCATCGCAGCTTCTGTGCGGCTCGCCCCATGCACGCCGCGAGGGCTGAAGACCAAGAACCAGCGACTGCGCGCGCAGTTTCCCCGCTCATCATGGCATGAGCCGCAGAGACAGCGTCCTACGAAGACCCGACCGGCCCGCGGCGCCCCTGGTTCTCCTCCTCACCCTCACACTACTCCAGGGCGCGGCCGCGGGCCGGCTAGAGGAGCGGGACGTCATACTCATAGGCTACACCGAGCAGAAGCGGCGAGCCGCGGCGGAGGCGGCAGTGAAGCAGCAGCTGGGGGGCGTCGCGGGCGGCGTCGCCAGCGGCACTGTCGGCGTGGCCTTAGACCCCCTGTGCCCGCCAGATGACCGTCCAGACCACTGCCCAGGCTGGGCCCGCATTGGCGAGTGCCTGCGCAACCCTGTCTTCATGCGGAAGAGCTGCAAGGCCAGCTGCAAGGTGCTGCCCTCCTGCTTCGCCAGCATAGCCAGCGGCCCTTGGGGTGGGCACGCCACGCCGGCGGGCACCGCGCGGTTCGCACTTGGCGCCGACGAGGCCGCTGCCGGGCACTTCCGCGAGCATGCAGTACGCTACACAGGTGCGGCGGTGCAAGCGCAGCGGCGGCGAGCCCGGCCGCATGCTGCTGCGCCCGTTGCGCGCGCGCCAGCTGGCACATCTGACCTCGCCCGTTGGAGCATTTGGCTTGCTATGCGCCCATGGTGCATTGGCGCTCACGTTTACCGCAGTGCCTGCATGCCCTCCTGCTGTTGACCCCTTTTTCTGCCTGCTGCAGGAGTGCACGCCTCAAATGCTTCCCTCACACTTAGCAGCCTGGGCATTGGAACCTACTTGGGCGCCGGCGACGATGCCACCGACGAGGCGGTGACCACCGCGATTCTCAAGGCAAGCCTGCGGTTTGCATGTGTCCCGGCTGCTGCAAGGGCTTATTTGCGGTTGCCAGTCGGGCTCTGGGCGCAGTGGGAGGAACAGAAGGCTCGAGAAACAGAAGGCTCTGCATGCTTACCCAGCCGCCCACATGTATGGCCTTGCTCGCCTGCAGTCTATAGCATCGGGCTGGAACGTCATAGACACCGCGGCCAACTATAGAGGGGGACGGGCGGAGACGGCGGTGGGACGAGCGCTACACGCGCTGCGCCTGCTGGGAGATGCCGAGCGGGACCAGCTCTTCATCTCCACCAAGGCTGGCTACTCCCCAGACGGCCTGATGGAGCGGCTGCTGCAGGAGGGCGAGGTGCTTCCGACAGATGTCGTCAACGACGTGCACAGCATGCACCCCTCATACCTCCTTGCCTCGTTAGACCGCTCCCTAGGTGAGCCGCGGCGGCAGTGGGGGGCGATTCCTGCAGGAATGGCAGAAGGGCCTACAAGCAGCCCAGATGTAGAGTTCTGTGCTGCTGCAAGACCGCAACGTCTCACATGCGACTGCTTCTCCCCGCCCACTTGTTGCGCAGCTGAGATGGGCGTCACCACCGTCGATCTCTTATACCTGCACAACCCTGCGGAGAGCCAGCTGGCGCAAGTGGGACAGCAGGCGTTCATGCAGGTGCTGCCCTGCCCTTCCCTCCGGCTGGGCCATGGCAGCTTTTCGTACCAGCAACTAGCTGCGCAGCCGTGCCGCGTATAAGTAACTCCATTGCCATCCCTGGCACAGCGGCATCAGACACCACGTGCCCTGCCACTTTGTCATACATTGACCTCCTTTGCTGTGCGTCCCACCTGCCTCTGCAGCGGCTGCGCGCCGGGTTTGAGTTTTGCGAGCAGGCACGAGCTGTGGGCAAGATGCGTGCCTACGGAATCGCCTCCTGGAGCTGTTTTAGGTGCGGCTGTGTGGCGGAGTGGCAGGGCGATGCACAGCATGCGTGTCTGGGGTGTGGGAAGTGGAGGGGCGCAGCCACAGTCGCAGCCCTGCCCCGGCGTAGAGCCTTGTACAGCGCTATTGCCTGCCTGCCTGCCTGCTGAGCGTCGCGGAGCATGCGCTGCTGCAGGGTGCCACCGGGCCACCGCCAGCACCTCAGCCTGCAGTCGGTAGTGGAGCTGGCTGAGGAGGTGGGAGGCAAGGACCACGGCTTTAGGTGGGTGGCTTACCGGCTGGCTGGGATGGATTGTCCGTGTGGCCGCTGGTGAACGCCAGCAGTGCTGCTGCCTGGCATCACATTGCCTGCCAATCTTACCTGCCCACTGCCGCACGTGGCGGCTCTCACCTTGCTGCGCTGCTGCGTCGCGCCGCGTGGTGCAGATACATCCAGCTCCCCGTCAGCGCGGGCATGCCGGAGGCCTGGTCAAAGCCCTGGCAGGAGCTGGTGCAAGATGGCGTGCGCACACGCGTGACGCTCATGAAGGCAGCTGAGAAGGTGGGTTTGGGGCGGCCGCTTGTCGTAACACGTGCGGCAGCCGGCTGCTGGCGCACATCGCAGTGCAGGCTGACTTGCGCTGCTGTGCTCGAGTGTGTGTGTGACGTGGCTGCCAAACCTCCCTTGCTCGACCCCTGACATGGCCTGCTGCTGCCTGTGCCCCAACTGCTTGCCTGCAGCTGGGCCTGGGGGTGTTTGGCAGCGGGCCGCTCATGGAGGCAGAGCTGCTGCGGAAGCCAGATGTGACGCAGGCAGTTGACGGCATGCCGCAGTTGCAACACATCCAGGACACTGCGCCGCGGTTACTCCAGCTCGCGCGCAGCACTCCAGGTCTGCTCACCTCGCTCGTCGGGCACAAGACGCCCAAAAACGTAGACCAAAACTGCAACCTCGCGCAGGTGGGCTGCCATGCACCAGCTCGTTCCCCAGCTAGCTTTGTGTGCATGCTGCCTCACAGCAGGCTTGAATAGCTTGCTTGAATGAGCCAAGGCACGGGCTTTTGTGCTCGCTGCCGCGGGGGTCGACTGGCCTCCACCCTCCCCGCTCCCAGGGTTGAACACGTGTGCAGCAGCGTGCATTGGTTCAAGCCTCCATTGCCGTGTATGCCTGCAGGTTCGACCTCTGGACGAAACAGAGTTCCGGGCCGCACTGGCTGACATGAAACGAAAACACTGACCACATCAACCCACACATACTTGCTGGGGCGTCCCCTTGTTACCCCGTACCAATCTTATCAGCTAGTTCAGCACTTCTCTCTTTATATTTTTCCTGTACTACCTTGCTCTTTCCGTTTCTTTAGCACTGCTGCTTACCTTTTCCCCTGTATCACTTCTCGCCTCTTCTTTTGCCGCATTGCACCCCACACGCACCCGTCACCGCGTCACCAACAATTGCGCACGGCCATGTTTGCATCTTCATTAGGATCAGCAACTTTTGTGCATGTGCCCCTCCTCCATGTGACCATTATCATGCCCGCGTGAGGAAGGCAGCCTGGGGACTTCCGGGAGGCGCGGGTCGAGGAGGCGGCAGGCAGGCGGGGGCACGCTTGACCTGGGGCAGGTCAAGCGTGCAGCGAGTTAGTGACTGGCCCTCATTCCCAACTGCCCTGGCCTGATGGACGACAGGGGTCTTAAAATGTTTCGCCTTCTGCGCCTGCGCCTCCGCCTCGCTGCCTTCCTCCCGCATGAAGGCTCTGGCCCTCCGCTTGCTGCCAGAAGCACAATTAATGCATAACACTGCTGCACAGCCATCTTGTGTGGCCCACAGCGAAAGTGGCACTCGGCACTGAACCGACACGCTGCAACTCAAAAGCCAAGGCTCCAGAATGAACGCAGGGGCGTGCACCGACCGCGTGGGGCGCCCTCTTGCAACCAAGCGCGCTCCACGCAGTCTCGGAAGCGCAGGCTCCTCCCGCCGCCTCCCCGCCTGTGCTGCGGCCGGCGTGCCCCGCAGCGGCGCCGCTGGCCCAGGCGCCCACCCCAGGAGCAGCGGCATCCAGCGGCCCCTGCGGGCGCAGGCTGTGGCTCGGCCCTTTGGCTCGGTGCCCCCGTCTGTGGCTGAGGTCGAGGAGCAGCTGCCAGCCAGCAGCGGTTGGGAGCTGGCGCGGGGCTACTACAAGGCAAGGCGCTCGCCCTTGCCTTTGTCCGCGTGGTGTGCTGGTGCAGGCGCCATCTGCCAGCACCCACAGCCCCTGACCCTCTTGGGGCGCAGAGCGGCTGCCACCACGTCCCCAGCCTGGCAGGTGCAGCAGCAGGGTTCAGGCAACCTTCACCCATCACCAGCGCCTGCTCCCCTGCCCTCCTGCAGCTGTTCCGCGGATGGAACGCGCTGCCCAGCCTCATGCTGGTCCTGCTGGGCGCCTGGACGGGCGCCGGCAAGACCGTGCTGGCCCTGCAGCACCTCACAGGTGCGCCCCCCGCCCCGCAAGCCCTGGTGCTGCCCACGGGCGCCTGCCCTCTGCAGCAGGGGCGGCTCCCGCGCCCTCCCGTGCCTTTGCCCAATCCCGGCACACCTCCACCCCCCCCACCACTACCATTACCATTACCATTACCATTACCATTACCATTACCATTACCACCACGCCTCACAACAGCACCAGAACCC